TGCCTTGCGAACTGCCTGGCAGGTAGACACACTCAGGCAGCCTGAGCACATCTACTATCCAGGCAATTCGCAGCTAAGGACTGATACACCTAATTATAATAAAACTTACCTAATTAGATTTCTAAATTTGTTTCTCAGAAAAAACCCTCAAATACCAGATTATCTGGTACAAAACCGGACACCTGTCAACCCTGCCCTTCCTTGCACCCTCTCTCCTAGACAGCTACCCTACCCCCACTCTGCTCCTGCTCCCCCCTCCTGGAGTACCCATGCAGCACTGGGTCCCCCAAGCCCTGGCCCAGAACTGAATTTCTGATCTACAGTTTATGTGCTGGAGTTTTCTGAAGGGTCTGCATTGTCTAATTTAGGCTCTGATCTTAAAGAATGCTGAGCAGCCTTACTCCAAATTGCGTTCAATGCGAAAACGTGGGGAAAGGGTAGGGAAGGGGAAGATAATGCATTTTTAAAATACAGTTTATAAAATTCTCTCATCTAATGCCTGTTCCAACAAACCATGATTTTAAGGTGACCTGAGCTGATCGCAGGGAAGAACAAGTTCCTTGTCCTAGGGCCCATTGTAATTAAAGGTGACTAAGGGGCTGACTGTTCACCGGAGTCAACCTTCAGAATGATTAACAGCCACTGTAAAACCCACTGAAAGCTAGATTCCTTCATGTAGTTGTTGCTGATGCAGGTCTAGCCTATGTTTTAGACTTGCTTATTGAAATCCTGCTGGGTAACTCTGCACAAACAGCACCCATCTTCTATAACTTTATAACTGAGTCATTTGATCCAGTGAGAACTTCTGACTACTCTAAATTCCTATTGACCTCAGTAGAAGTTAAGGGGGCTAAACACATTCCCACACTAAAGCCTGGGGCTGGAATTCTGAAATCCACTTCTTCTCTGAAGATTAGCATGAAAGGAAGTAGATAAGGACGTACTAAGAGCTGGGTTCAATAACACACTGCATAGGTACAGAGACCTGTGCTAATAGAGCCCAGTACAGAATTAGGGTACTAAATTGCTAAAGGGTGTTTCTGGCACTGGAAAATATGCACTGCCTTTCTCCACAGAAAATTAGATAAGACTACAAGGCTTGTCCTAGAGTTGGTTGGATTTTTATATGTGCAAGATCAGGCCTGGAGCCGGTAAAGCATAAAGCACCTTGGACTGTATATATAGCAAAGTTTTTTTTGTTTGTTTGTTTGTTTTGTAGTACTATACATCTCATGCAACACACCTTATAGAGAGCATCCACTTTCATAGTAAATCCATCCACTCCTGGCATGCTGCTCACCAAGTGGAAATCAGACAATTCAGAGGCAAAGTGAGCATCGAAAGGTACATCGTGGAAGTACTTATCAGTTACCTCAGGTTGGTTTCGGTCCTGAAATTTACAGAAAGCAATATGTACTGAAGAAATGTGAATACACACTATTGGAGACACACGCATTAGTAACAAACTGGCAACCAACAAGCTACATGACAACTGAGATTTGTCAAAGTTGACTTTTTGGTTAATGTGTTATAGGAAGCAGCAAAATGACACAAGCAGAGCATCTCTCACTCATGTCTTTGTCTCCTCCTTCTATGCCTATCCTGGCTTTGCCCTCTTCTCCTCTCTTCTTGTGCATTTAAAGGCTACCCTCTCAAATAAAAAACTTCCTTAAAATAGTAATAGAGATGTAGCCGTGTTAGTCTGGTCTAGCTGAAACAAAAGACAGGACTATGCAGCACTTTAAAGACTAACAAGATGGTTTATTAGGTGATGAGCTTTCGTGGGCCAGACCCACTTCCTCAGATCAAATTGTGGAAGAAAATTGGCATGACCATATATACCAAAGGGATACAATCAAAAAAAGTGAACACATATAAAAAGGACAAATCAAATTTCAGAACAGAGGGGAGATGAGGGGGGAAGGTTAATGTCTGTGAGCTAATATTAGCTTCCCCAATTATCACCTCTATCTTTGTAATGGGTAAGATAATTAGCATCTTTGTTGAGGCCCAGTCGTAAAGTGTCAAATTTAAGCATGAATGACAGTTCAGAGGTTTCTCTTTGAAGTCTTGTGTTAAAATGTCTTTGAAGCAGGATGCAGGTAGTCAAGTCATTGAGACAATACCCTTTCTGGTTGAAATGGCAAGAAACTGTTTTTTCTTTGTGAAACTGCCTGATATCTGTTTTGTGTGCATTGATTCTTTGGCGAAGTGTCTGAGGAGTTTGTCCAATGTACATAGCAGACAGACACTGTCGGCACATGATGGCATAACTTATATTTCTGGATGAGCAGGAATATGTGTTCTTGATCTTCTAATTGAATTGGTTAGGTCCAATGATGGTGTCAGCAGAATAAATATGTGGACAAAGCTGGCAACGGGGTTTGTTGCAAGGGAAAGGTCCAGGGTTGGTATTAGTGTGGTATGTCCTGTGGTTGTTGGTAAGAATCATCCTGAGATTAGGTGGTTGTCTATAGGGGACTATGGGTCTGTCTCCCAGAGCCTCTTGGAGTTTAATATCCTGTTCCAGTATAGGTTGTAGTTTATTGATAATGTGTTGGACGGGTTTAAGTTAGGGGCTATAGGTGATGACAAGTGGTGTTCTATTGTTGGTTTTCTTGGGTCTGTCTTGAAGTAGATGGTTTCTGGGTATTCGTCTGGCTCTTACAATTTGTTTTTTTATTTCTCCGGGTGGGTAGTTGAGATTTATAAATGCTTGGTAGAGATCCTGAGGTTTCTGGTCTCTGTCAGTGGGATTAGAGCAGATGCGGTTGTATCGAAGGGCTTGGCTATAGACGATGGATCGTATGGTGTGTTCTGGATGGGAGCTGGAGGCATGTAGGTAACTGTATGAGTCAGTGAATTTTCTGTAGAGAGTGGTGTCTAATTTACCTTTGGTGATTTGTACTGTGGTGTCCAGGAAATGGATCTCTCGTGTAGAATGGTCCAGGCTGAGATTGATGGTGGGGTGTAGGTTGTTAAAGTCTCTGTGGAATGCATCCAGTGTTTCTTGGCCATGGGTCCAGATCATAAAGATGTCATTGATGTAGCATAAGTAGAGAAGGGGTAAAAGGGGACGGGATCTGAGGAAACGTTCTAAGTCAGCCATAAAGATATTAGCGTACTATGGGTCCATGCAGGTACCCATGGCTGTGCTGCTGATATGGAGGTATAAGTTGTCCTCAAATGGGAAATAATTGTGGGTGAGAACAAAGTTACATAGGTCTGCTACTAGACTGGCAGTGGTGTCCTCTGGGATAGTGTTCCTAATTGCTTGTTATCCGTCTTTATGTGGGATGTTGGTGTGTAGAGCTTCTATATCCATGGTAGCAAGGATGGTGTTATTGGGGAAGTTATCGATGTTTTGTAGTTTTCTCAGGAAGTCAGTAGTATCTCGGAGGTAGCTGGGAGTGTTGGTTGTGTAGCGTTTGAGAAGAGAGTCTACATAGCTGGATAATCCAGTAGTGAGTGTGCCGATACCCGAGATGATGGGAAGTCCAGGGTGTCGAGGTTTATGGATATTGAGAAGCAGATAGAACAATCCTGGTCGGGATTCAGAAGGTGGTTCTGTGTGGATTTGGTCCCGAGTAGATGTAGGGAGTTCTTTAAGGAGACAGTGTCATTTCTTTTGGTATTCTGAAGCGGGATCAGAGGAGAGAGGTCTGTAAAATGTGGTGTTGGAGAGTTGTCTGGTTGCCTTCTGGTCATAGTCCGACTTATTCATAATGACCACAGCACCCCCTTTGTCAGCTGGTTTGATTATACTGTCCAGGTTGTTTTTGAGACTCTGGATAGCATAGCGTTCAGCGTGGCTGAGATTGTATGTCGCTTGTTGTCATTTGTGGATGTCAGTCTGTGCATTGTTGTGGAAGCTTTGTATATAGAAATCCACATTGTAATTCCGACCGTAAGGGGGAGTCCATATAGAATTATTTTTCTTTTGGTGTTGATAGGGGGGATCTGGTTGGTCAGATTGATGTTCATTGGTAGTATCGAAATATTCTCGTAGGTGGAGGCGGCAAAAGAAAGCCTCAAGGTCACCACAAAATTGAGTCTGCATCCTGCTTCAAAGACATTTTAACACAAGACTTCAAAGAGAAATCTCTGAACTGTCATTCATGCTTAAATTTAACACTTTACAACTGGGCCTCAAGAAAGATGCTAATTATCTTACCCATTACAAAGATAGCTTCCCCAATTATCACCTCTAATATCATTAGCTCACAGACATTAACCTTCCTCCCTCATCCCCCCCCTTGTTCTGAAATTTGATTTGTCCTTTTTATATGTGTTCCTTAAAACAGTCCTCCTTAATTCCTTGGTGCTAATTCAAAGACATAAGTGTTCCTATTTCTAATAATTGTCTTTTTTTCCTCCAAAGAGAAATTTAAACCAGTTTTTTACACAAATGTATACAGTTGCTGTTATTTTCCCCACAGAGAGACTTCTGTGCTTGCATTAGAGTCATGCTACTCTCCCAGTTTATTTTAGCTTCCCTTTTTCTTCCAAAGTCCAAGACAGCCCACAATTCCCTGCAGAAATGGACTCAGTAGGACTTCTCTAAAAAGGCCACGAAACACTGCTCAAATATAAAAATGAACACTGAGGCCCCGATACTCTGAGATCCATACAGACACATAAGGCTAAGCATGTCACATCTGCAGACCTCTCACTGAGGAAGCAAGAATCCAGATTGGAAGAATAATGCTCACATCTCTCAGCCAAAAGTTAAAGACAAATTCCGGGCTCTTGCAAGTGGTTTTGTGAAGTGCCTACTCCTAGATTTGGGGTAAGAATAACTTTTAACAACACACAGTTCACATAATAAGAAATAATTATAACTGTAATTTGATTTCTAGCATTTCACATTATTTGTAGTAGAGCGCTCCTAGGATAGTTTTATTAAACTAAACACCCAATGCTGAGAGTAACTACACTAATATATAGATGCATGAAAAAACTGGCTCCTATATTACCCTTCATTACGCTGCTGATGGTAGAATGACTGGCATCCATGTTAATTTCAAAGTCTGCACTTACCATTAAACACATGATGTGCACATGTAACTAACTTTTATTCAAGGAAAAAGGATTTTTGTTATATGGATGAGTAAACCTCCTTCTATATGTTGAGAGGATTGTCATGACAAATATATTTGTATAAACCTTCCTGCTACTTCTACATTAAAAATGAGGGCCAAATCACAAGGATTTCCTTCAGTTTTTCCTAGTCCTCAGGCCAATGGGAATGTGTTGGAATAAGGACTAAGGAAATCAGCTTTGTATTTGCATTTAATTTGATATAAAAAAACCGCACTCTCCTGCCCTTCATACAGCTGTGCAGTAAGCTACTTCTTGTACTAGGAACATTTAAGAAAATGTGGGATACGGACAAATGCCTCAGTGAACGTGCACACCGTGAAAGGTGTGTGCGTACAACAGGTGAGAATCTCACCACAGCTCCAGCCCAGCTCTGCCACATAACAGGACTAGAGCGGCATAAAGTAGCCCTAAGGGTTTTGTATGCAGCCTAGGAAGGATTCCCTCAGTGCTGAGGACACCTCTAGCTAGCATGCTAAAAATCAGAGTGTGACAGTAGCAGCACGGGTGGCCCCTCAGGCTGACAACCCAAATCCAAACTTGCCTGATCCCAGGATACGTACCTGGGAGGCCAGCCCCTGAGCTGCTATTTTTAGCACATTAGCCCAAGCAGAGCTAGCCCCAGTCTGCCTACCCGCACTGGGACAAAAGGGGAGATAAAAAAGGCTGGTATAGACAAGGTCTCGGGAGAATGATTGACCAGGCTTAAACTAAAAAACGTGAGTTCCGAACCAAACAAACGGCCTGGCTTTAAGTCATAGGGTGGTGTGAAGAAGAAAAAGTGACTTTAATGCTCATCAAAGATGCTGAATCAACAACCCTAGAGCATGAGGTTGTTTTATACACAGAACATGCACAGTGTGGACAACAGCTGGGCAAGCTTCCCCTCCTGTCCTATTAGGACCTGTCTAAACTAGGAAAATGTGGATCCATTTTAATATTACTACCCTTGTACAAAGGAGATGCCAAGTGATGTTTAAAACATGCTATTTAAAATGTGTTAGCTCTCATATTTAGCTTGCTAAATATCTCATGTTCCCCATCTATACTGGGTCATGTGCTTCAGCCTTGACCTGGTTGAGAGAGTAGTTGAGTCTGCATCTCCATTTACTAATTTTGTGATGTGAACCGTGTTTTGAGACTTACTCATCTTCAGCGGCTCCCCATAGAATTTTATCAGAACAAAAACAAGGTCAGAAACACAAAATTGTTATGAGAAGGGAGAAAAATGATTCTCCTTAACCTTTGATGATAGGACAAGAAGCAATGGGCAGCCAGGGTTTAGGTTGGACATTAGGAAAAACTTCCTAATTGTCAAGGAGGTTAAGCATTGGAATAAATTGACTAGGAAGGTTGGGGAAACTTCATCATTGGAGCAGGTTAGACCAATGCCAGTAAGGGATGGTCCAGATAGTGCTTGGTCCTGCCAAGAGTGCAGGCAATTGGATTTGATGACATCTTGAGGTCCCTTCCAGCTCTACGATTCTGTTCTATGATTCCTGTCACACATTCTCACATAGTTTATCAAAGAGATGGTTCCAAAATCAGCCAGGATGTAAACCACCCACATCTACACAGCTACCACAATTCAACAATACAATTGTATCCCCTGTGCAACCTACCAATAGCAAAAATCTGTGTTTTAGGTGCTTGTTGGGTTGAATACAGCCATACTGTGGTCCCTCATTATAGATTGTTCCAGTTGGGTCAAAGAAAGGCACATAACCATCCTTGCCCGTACAGAGATAGACTTTTTCCAGCTGCAGTTTGTAGGCAGCATTTAGATTTTGTTCGGGATTCCAAAGCACACGACCATATAGGATTTGACCTGAGAAGGTTGACAGAATTTACAGTCACATTTATATGCATTGAGGAGAGGAGGGGAGAAAGAGGAGCAATTCAGAAAATCTACTGAGCCAAGTCGACCCGCTGGGGAACAGTATTAGTTTCCTATGTAGATGGTGCCATATTGCATCGTGATCATGTTATACAGTTGTTATAGTCATGATCTTACAGGGCTATAGCATGATTCTGTAATAAAGTTTGTTCACATAGGCAAGATGACTCCCCAATATCACATCATTTCCCTTACACTACAGTAGAGGCTACCCAGGTGGACTCTTTAGATCAGGGTTTCCCAACGTATGGGTTGGGACCCAAATATGGGTCGCCATTACATTTCAAAAGGGTCGCCAAGTGTCTCCCCCTGTTTTTGAATTGCCTTGGGACACCAAGTCTTCCTGAATTGTCAAAATGGGTCCCCATCTGGAAAAAGTTGGGTACAGCTGCTTTAGATAAAGTACATTTACAAGGGAAAGCAACCGGTCTTACCTTTTGAAAAAGCTCCTTTGTAATCCATTTCTGCAAAAGACATTTCAGATTTAGTGGGATCCATCAAAAATACTTTCTCGTTGTTACAGAGCTGAAACTCTGTGTTCAGAGAGTATACGACAGGAACCGGGCGGTTTGTCTGCTGGAAAGCAATTGGGATCAAAAATCTAAAGTGGAGAGGAGAAAAAAAGGAGATGCAGATTGAACTTCTCTACACACTCAAGTTATGCTGCTAGAAACTGACTCCTATAGTTAAATCACTACAGACTGACACAATTATAATGATAGCAAAGTACTTATGGTGGTCTAGCTTATTGCCATATGGGAAGGAGGTTAAGTTATACTGGTAAAAAGCACTTTTATACAAGTAACTGCCTCCACAGTAGGATTGATGCTGGTGTAATTATTTCAGTGAAAAATCACACCCCTAACCAACACAGTTCTACAAAATCTGCAAGCAGACTAGACCTTGAGTTGCAACTATCACAAGTCAGCATTTTCCTCCAGAGATGTAACCTCTGTGAAGAGCATGGGAGTCTACAGAAGAACCTTGAAACTGATATATTATTATTTGACACTTGTGAACTTTATCTCCAAGGGTGCATCTACACAGCAGGGCTTAACTCGAAATAAGCTATGCAAATTGAGCTACGTCATTGCGTAGCTTATTTCGAAATAGCTTATTTCAAAATTAGGAGCATCTACCCAGCACTTATTTCGAAATAGAGCACTCTTCCTCCGACTTCCCTTACTCCTTGTACAGTGAGGGTTACAGGAGTCAGAGTTAGAAGCCCTCCAGCTTGACGGTATTTCGACTATTTTGAAATAACTGCCTGCTGTGTAGATGTGGACTAAGTTATTTCAAAATAACGCTAGTTATTTCAAAATAATGTTGCTGTGTAGACGTACCCCTACTGTTTACATTTTCAACTTGGAGAATATAGTGCACAACACTCATTAACACCAAAGGGGAGCTGCCTGGAGTTTGTGGGCAGCGCTGTTGAGTGGGGAGCACAGACACGAGGTGGGTGCGGTAGAATCTTTTACTGACTAACTTCTGTTCAGGAAGGAGCAAGCAGATTTGTTGCGGGCTTCTACATTACCTGCAAGCCATGGAACTGGGACTGACCAAGCCAAGCATTGACCTGGGGTTTGCAGGCACGCCATGGGAATGCCCATGAGTTTCCCAGACCCAAATGCCCCATAAGGAATGGAGAAAGACAGTGGCTACTACCCCACCTTCAGTAGTGATCAAAGGAGAGCCATTAATTAGGACAGCGAATTTAATCTTCTGCAATCCAACTCCTTCTCAGTACCACCCAGGAAACCCAAATACTCAGGCTGAGTGCATGTGGGGGGGCAGTGAACTTCACCCCCAAAGGAACACAGAATCATAGGGTTGATGAGAACAACACAAGTCTGGTTTTCCAAGGTCCTGAGCACTGCAGCTCTCACTGGAGCCACTGAGACCGCACCTGTGACAATTAGGCCTAGATCGTGCCACAGATTCCTGTCAAAGCCAGCAGAAAAGAAAAGATACTTTCCCTTGCCTTTCTGACCACGCTTTGCTGACAGCCAAGCCAAGTGCTCGGAAGCTGTCTGAGAGGCTCTCGTCAAAGTGCAGAGTTAATGTTGAGGGAGCCCTGTTCTACTATTTTAATGGAGGATGATCTCATTCACGGCTAGAATCCAAAGCCATTAGCAGGGAGCTGGAACAATTTGTGTTGTGGAGGGCGCTGAGAGCCACTGAACAAAACTATAACGGATAATGGAAACTGTATAATAGAAACTGCTTCAAGTTAGGGGATGCAGCAGCACCCCCAGTTCCAGCATCTATGGGCAATAGGGATTTTTCTAGCTTCTCATTTCTCCTATTGTTGTTGCTTTGTGTCAAGTGCCTGCTAATGATGCAAATGATGCAAGCCAACGGTGTCCTTATAAAGCTAGCACAAAGGAAACACGATGATCTAAGCCATTCATCTTGCAGGGCTGTGTACACTGTTCTTCCTCCTCAAGGACACATTTCACTGTACACATTCTGTTTGAATAACTACATGGCTTTATTGAATATCTATGAAATCTGTGGGCCCCAATTGCATTCACATCTTAACAGAACTAGACTTCATTCCTATATCCACACCCTTTGCTCTCTTTAATTGGAGGAATCTTCATTTCTGAGCCCACAAACACTTCACTCTCTCGAGCTTAACTCATTTATAACAACTCTGAACACAGACCTTGAGGTCTGAGCAAGCAGCAAAACAAGAAAATAGTGCATCTCCTCACCTTTCTGGGGCATGAGCAGTGCAAGCCAATGGTTTATCTCCTGGGTCGATCCACGGCTGCGTGGGCTGCACAGTACAAGGGATTAAGTAAATTGTGTACTCTCCAGAATAGTCCTTCCTGGAAACAGACATGAGATGCCATGGTTACCATTATTAATCTGGGAGTTGTTTACTTGCCTGGAAACATTTATCAAGTGGGCATTTGCATAGCTTTTTGCATCCTTAGTACAAACGATTATCCATGCATGTTGGACTAGTCTGATGCTGAAGACAAATGTTTTGAACCACCATAGATTCATGCCGGGTGTAACTCCATCAATTCCAGTGGAGTCACAGCAGGGATGAGAATTTGGTCCATGATGTTTAAAGATGCTCTATTTGCCTGTGTGCCTGAACAAAGCTGGATGAGAGACCAGGGATCAATTACTGAAAGAACAGCAAGAAAAGCAGAGAGAAGGAAGATATTTCTGGATCACAGCATAAGTACATGTATCAAGGATAGCCTTCATTTTAATTAAAACTATGAAACACGGGTATTAAAATCCTCTTTTGAAGTGCAAATCTCAGTGCAAGCTCAGTATACGAAATCACTACCAGTAGTGCCAGGCTGTTTACACAGATGTTTTATTCCTCCTCCCGCCCCCCCCCCCACACACACACAATGAATTCAGTACGCTTGAAGGGAACTGAATTGACAGCCCTAAGCTCCTCCTTTGCTTACAGGACAGAGACAGCATCAGCTACAGCAGTGAAAGCTGCCTTCTCCTGTCCTCATCTTCAAACTCTGAGAGAGTGCAGGTTTCCACAGTCCATTCAATTCTAGCCCCTTTTGCTGAGCTTGCTCAGCAGAATCCATTTTACACAGGCTGCCAACAGTCCTTGTTATGGGGATCCATTTAGGCACCACTATAAAGGTAGATCGTGTTTACTAACCCAGGTCCAGAGTCTGATACTTAATATGGGAGCCAGCTCCAGCCCTGGGGACAGCCACCACGAGCTTGGCAATGGATAGACCTGGCACCCTTGGGACATAGACGGAGCTTGGTCCTGCCTTGAGGGCGGGGGGCTGGACTCGATGACCTCTCGAGGTCCCTTCCAGTCCTATTATTCTATGATTCTATAAGACACAGAAGGGGGGCGCTGAAGGTAAGGAGGTTAAGGAACTCCTCCAGTGGCCCACTAGGTAAGGTACCTGGTTCCAAAAACAGAAGTCAAGGGTTTGAGCCCCTCCTTCCTCCATCCAACATGGGATCACCCAACCCAAGCTTGGCGATGGATGCACCCTTGGGACATAGGACGGATAAAGGGGGCCCAGAATGTAGGGAGGCTGGGGGGCTTCTCCAGCAGTGCAGTGGATAAAGCACTTATCTCCAGAGATAGAGGCTGAAGGTTCAAGTTTCCCCGGTAGGGGACAGCCACCAGCTGCTTGGCAATGGACGGACCTGGCACCCTTGGAACAAAGGTCTGACACCCTCACCCAACTTGTAGAATGAAAGGTTACTTTACAGGCTGAGTAAAGGGCCTGCAATTTGAGATAATCAAACAGAAGAGGAGACCCCCGAAGAAAGGAGGCAACTGACTGCAGAAAAGGAAAGTGTAATTTATACAAAATGATACAGAGCATAGCTAGAGGATAAAGACAGAGGAGCCATCAGATAATAACAAAAGTAGAGGCTGCCCAACAACCACAGCTTAATTCAGCTGTTGCCATAGAAGTAAATGGAACCCTTTGCCTTATACCCTGTATAGTCATTTACCCCGGAGCTACACAGGTGCAGGGCAACTGAAAATCAGGCCCAAAGACTCCATATCCTGTTACCAATCCCCCTGAGCTATCCAGACCCCAAGGTGAGACGCTCTTGAGGAGTCAAAAACTTATGAGCATATAAAAAAAGACCCAATCGTGTTTTCAGGACACCTGACAGACAGGACTGCTGCCATCCACTTCTTAGATCTCCATTCATATATCCTATTCCCTAAAGAACCTTTCTGCTGATGCATGATCCAACAGGTTACAAGATTTATCAAAGCCACCCAGGAAATAAACAAAAATCAAGTTTGATACTAGTGGCTGTTGCGACAGCAGAGAGTGAAATGAAGTGCTAGTATGCCTGGACTGGGCCCTTTGCTCAGGATGCTGTTAATGCTGGCTCTCTCGGCATGTGTGAACACCATTCTGATGATGGAAGCGATAAAGCCAGCTATACTCACAGTCCTACTTCCTCACCTGTTATAGGAACTGGTTGCCCTCCACAGCTGATAGGGGGAATCAAAAGTCTGCGCACTCCACAAAAGCTGCAGATCAAACTCAATCCCTCCAAGGTGGTCTGGCGTCATTATAAAAGACTTCACATCTGGCAGCGTGTGGTGCTCCATCACAAAATGCCCTGCACAGAGGAATACAAATACGTCACCTACCGAGACATATTTTTACCTTTCTCCAGCCTTCCTGCAAACTTGTCTTGAAGTCAGGTACCGGAGAGGTGGTCAGTTGAATAGCTAATGTTCCATGAAGCATTTCAAATAAAGCAAAACATGGAAAGATCTAATCTTGGATCTCAGGAACTTGGAGAGATAACTCGGGTTAGTGTCAACTACTTGCGAGAGTCAGGATCAAGCCTGCCCTAGCTGAGATTTACAAACAACTCAAAGATAAAACACTGGCAGCTGATGTACAGTAGCGTTCCCACTGTTGCTACCTGTGGTAGGACTGCACTGGTGCTAGAGTAACAATCAGAGGATTTCAGAAAGTAATTCGTCTAGACAAGGCCATGAGAAAACTAATCTTCTTCAAAGAGCAGCTAAGTCTAATGGCAACCAGCAAACTCTAGTGCAGGGGTGGGCAATAATTTTCATGGGGGGAGACAATGAATTTTGCAACATGGTCACCGACCAGCTCCACCTCGGAAGGGACAGGGCTTAGGGCAGAAGGGGCGGGGCTGGAGACTAGCCTCCCCCTAGAGTCATCTGGGGCCAGAGGCTTTGAACTAAAAATGCAGAAAAGAGCTCGCTCCTGGCCCCACCACTACCATGTTGCCTGGCAGCCGCCTGGGGTTCCTGCAGCTATTTAAAGGGCTCACGGCTCTGGCCCCTGCCAGGGTAGCACTGTCACCGGACAGGATCTTGCTGCCAGAGCCACTGCCTGGAAATTTGGTGGCCCGGGCAGCAGGATATAAATAGTAAGAGGCCAGATGCCGTCCGTGGGATGGGTCAAAATGTGAGGCGGGCCGGATTCGGCTCCCAGGCTGAATCTTGCCCAGCCCTGCTCTAGTGTTTAGGAACTTCACTCCGTACAGCTGCCCACCACTACTGCTGGCACTTTCACTGCTGGCATTGGGAGCCCCCAATACATGGCATGCAACTGTGCTTGCCCTGGTTTTCAGTTCCTTAGCGCACTGGTGCCTGAAGGAAACACACGCAAGGCGGAGGGCACAGCTGGCCTGTCCTGGGCAGGAATAAAGAAGGACTAAGGCGGACAGAACACCACAGGTCCTTCCCAATGCAGGTAAATTATGGTGCAAATAAACCAACGGAATGAACAAAACAGCAACCAGCTAAGAGGGTAACAGCGGCAAAGCAAATTGACCTTTGAGTAAAAGTAAATTCTTTGAATGTGAGCATTGCCTTCAGCCACATATACCATTCCTAGTACATTATCATCACTGTGCTCAAGACCAGCTCATATTAGTATAATGTTCTAAGTCAAAGCTGACACACTTGCCTCTGAATTTGGCATGGGTCTTGAACTCAATAACCAGCCGGCCATCCTCTCGGATGTAGATCCTTATTATCTGCAGCCTGGCAGAGAGAACGCTGTCTGTCTGAATCCCTGCATAGGTATATTGAGCAGAAAGTGAATTTATTAGCAAGGGGACTGTCTAGAACACCTGCTTGCAATAAACAAATTTCTATCACCAGCAGTTCTTACTCAATGTGAGTAGTGAGACTACTCATGGGAGAGCTGCAGGACTAGGCTCACAGCTTCAGCTGACTGGGAATTTATCAAAGAAAGGTTTCTCATTGGAAAATTTCAGTTTGTCTAAACTGATTAGGATGGACTGTCTGGTCAAAATGAGACACGCAGTCGAGAACAGCCTATAGTCCAGCAGTGTTCACCTAGGATGCGGGAGACACAGATTCAAGTCCTGCTCAGCTTGATTCAGCACAATGGCTATATTGCAATGGCACATGCTCTCATGGGGTGTGTCTAGACTACATGGCTCCGTCGACAGAGCCATGTAAACTAGTTTACCCGACATAGTCAGTAAAGCGGGGATTTAAATAATCCCCGCTTCATTAAAATAAAAATGGCTGCCGCACTGTGCCGACAATCAGCTGATTTGGCACATCGCGGCAGTCTAGACGCGGATCGGTCGACAAGGGGAGACTTTGTCGACCGCTCCCTTATGCCTCGTGAAATGAGGTTTAGAGGAGCAGTTGACAAAGGCTTCCCTTGTCGACCGATCCACGTCTAGAGTGCCGCGCTGTGCCAGATCAGCTGATTGTCGGCACAGTGCAGCAGCCATTTTTATTTTAATGAAGTGGGGATTATTTAAATCCCCGCTTCATTGACTATGACGCGTTGATGGAGCCATGTAGTCTACACATACCCATGGAGTTTTAGTGAAAATTTTAGAAAGGTCTTGACTTTGTTCGGATGCAGAATGAAAACAAATTCTGAAACCTCAACATGTTTTGCAAAACAGAATTCTTGCCCTACTCACCACAAGCACGGGGTTCAAGGGGAGGGGGAAATTACAAGGAATATGGACAGCTTGACTAAATAGAAAGCATAGGCTCACACACAAGATGACCACATACAGGTGTAGGTGTTGGTTCCTTGGTGTGCTCATCAAAAAAGGAAACACCATGCAAAATTTATAGCTGACAGTAATTAAACAAAAGTCAGTGTGGACCAACTATTGGGAAAAAATTCCAAATAGTGAGATCTGTGGTAGTGTAACACCCACAGGCGGAACCGAATCTGGGACCTTTGGAGCTTAGTTTCTACCACTTGAGCTAAAAGCCAGTTGGCCCTGAATTAAGGCTGTGGAGGAAACTCATTCTTTCTCTCTGTACGTAGTCTGTGCCGCCAGGGGGGGAGCACACCCTAGCCAGCAGGTGTGTGGGTTACAGTCGGAAGCACCAACATTTAAATAGTGTCAAAGAGAGCTGGAGAAAGCACTAAAGTATATCCCAGCAAACAATCTTGCCAGGACAGTGAAAGTGCTAGATCACTTATTAGGCTTTTTTCTAGCTACAATTTCTCCAGTTCAGCAACGGCTGTTTCACTGGTTAACAGAAGGTGAAGGGCAAGTCCCCTTGCTAAATATTTACAATTTTAGGGGCTGATCCCATGTGTCCAAACTCTGACAGAACAGCCATGTGCTTCAAGTTGTGCCCAACTAAGGACTAATAACTGCTGAAAAAAGAGGGAAAATGTGTTAGTTTACCTGTTCTCCAGAGAACAGTATCATAGAAGAAAGAAAATTCCATCTCTGTGTGATGTTCGAGAGAAGCCCAGCCTCTTGGTGCGGTCACATAAATGTAGGACACATAGAGAGGGACATGGACGGTCAGGAAAGACTGGGCAGAATCTCGCACCTGTCAATCAAACAAAAAGATGGTTATGGATTTATTTATTTTTTGGTATAAAGATACAATGCTCTGTAGATTTATCGTAACTCGTAAACCCGGCACACTCTGATTCTGCCACAGAGATAGCAAAAAGTCAGAGCAGCATTCATAGAATTCTCCCATGGGTCTGGATATGGATACTAAGCTTCCTCCTTTTAAAAGGAGAATCATGGCATGTACTAAGTGAGGATGCCCTATTTCTAAGGCACTGTAAGGTCTAGGACTCCCCCAAGGATCATATATAAATTGCACACATACAAAATGGGAAATGACTGCCTAGGAAGGAGGACTGCAGAAAGGGATCTGAGGGGTCATAGTGGACCACAAACGAAATATAAATCAGTGCTGTAATACTGCTGCAATAAAAGCAAACATCATTCTGGGATGTGGACTGTTGTAAGCAAGACATGAGAAGTAATTCTTCCACTCTTCTCCGTGCTGATTAGAACTCAACTGGCCCATGGAGTCCAGTTCTGGGTGCCATATATCAGGAAAGATATGGACAAATTGGAGTAAGTCCAGAAACAAGCAACAAAAATTATTAAATGTCTAGAAAACATAATCGCTGAGAAAAGATTAAAAAACTGTTTTTAGTCTGAAAAATTGGACTGGGGGATGGGGGGAGGGACATGAAAAGAGTCTTCAGAAACATGAAAGGTTGTTATAAAGAGAAGGGTGATAAAGAGAAGGGTGTTCTCCTTATCCAAGCAGAAAAGGACAAAAAGAATGGACTTAAATTGCAGCAAGGGAGATTTAGACTAAACATTGCCCAAAACTTCCTAACTGTAAGGGACACTGGGACAAATTATTTAGGGAAGTTGGGGATTCTCTGTCACTGGAAGTTTTTATGAACAAGTTGGACAAACGCCTGTCAGGGATGTCCTAGACCATATGTAATCCTACCTCAGTGCAGGGGATGGACTATATGGACTTCTGAGGTCCCATCCAGTGGTGCATTTCTACGATTATTGCTGATTAAAGAACAAATATGGTTGGGAGGAGGGAAACTTGTCTAGTCCTCCATCTTGGAGCACAGATAATTCTAGTATGGCTACAAACCATTCAAGACTCCTCATAATTGGATTTTAATACAGGTTGAATCTCTCTAGTCTGGCACTCGCTGGTCTGGCAACATCTGTGGTCCAGCACGATTTTAGTTAGCCATAGCCAGATGTCCATTTATCATGGGTGAGGCCAAGTTTCCCAGGGGTTCCATGCAGTATGTTTACAAGTCACCAGTCCTGGCTCTCAGTGTTCTGTGCGGTTATGTGTCTCTTATTTACCCCCCATGTCTTCTAAAAGCCCAATAAGCAGTTGAAGTGTTTGCAATGCTGCTAGACAATATTGACCTCCCACAGCTTGGAAAATTCTCTCGTTTGGTACCAGTTAGCTCCCGAGGGTGCTGTACTAGAGAGGTTCAACCTGTACGCAAAATGGGAAGGTGTAAAGATATCATAGTATACCTATCTTTACACATGCCTGTTTCATATACTGTATCTTTACACACAGCCATTTTTTCTCCCCTCACAGTACATGCACACTCTGTCATTCTGGTGTTGTGTTAAATAGGTATTTTTCTTTTTACCGATTCATAACATGGAGGTAAATGTACCCAAATGGAACTGGAGAAAGCGCTTTTTCAAGCACCCAAAACATTGATTCCAGCAGATGTTCTGAAATAGCAAATATTGTAATTTGTCTAGGAACCTTTTAAAGATTTTCAGGAAGTAAGAAAATACGTACTGATAAAAAAGGTTTGACTCGAGAGTTTAACAGACAAATAGTTTTCCTGATTTGCATGATAAAGAAATAAGCAGCATGTCTAATTATTAAAGCTGAGTATTGTTAAATGCTCATTGTTGGCCTCTCTCTGCTCTCCCGGAAGTCAATAGTAATTGACCCATTGTCTTAAGTGGGAACAGAGTTAGGACAGTATTTATTGCTGCTAAAAATGTTATTGTAATTGTCTAAAGCAGGCAAATTGGGTGATGTGCAGAGGGTCAGCTGAAAGCCTATGAACCATTCTGGACCTCCTCATCACTGGATTTTAATATATGAAATGGGCAAGTGTAAAGATAACAGCTCAGGAATCATCACCATTATTGCTGGTTTAAAAAAAAAAGAACCCTGTTGAATTAAAAGTAATTGTCACTATGATTAATGTGTTTGCAAATGTGCCTTTTACTGGTTAGTACCGAGAAATGAAAAATACCTCTCCTGGTCTGCTGAAAGAACACTAACTACAAAGCTGTTCCTCACCCACCCAAAACACTAGTCTTAGTCAAAACTGACTCTGCAAACCTGTCTTTATCTTAATATGAATGTACACTAACTCCAAGTGCATTTGTGGGTGTGTGTCTGTTATAACACCTCTATATTAACTAACTGTGTATGTGAGCAAACTGCACAAAACACTGTGTATCATGATTTCAGTCTCTATTCAATTAATTAAAAGAGCAACTCTGCTTGCTCATTCAGTAGAACGAACAGTTTAATGCATGAACCAGTCTGAGATACTACAATAATACTGGTCAGACATATTGCAAGCAGTAGAGGGCAGTAGTACTCATAGATAGAAACCATTATTTTAAACTAGAACCGTGGGGTCCAACTAGTTCTGAAGCAGTAACCACTACAGTGGCTACTTCTATAGCCAACTAGCCACACACAACCGGCCAAATAGTCACATGTGGCTAGTGAATTGGACACCACAGTACTAGAACATTGGCAGTCCTCACTGAGTTGATGTGCAAATCTGAGAAATCTCAAAAAACTCCTGTGATCTCACTCCACTCTTCACAGAGGGTAAAATTCTCAGCAGGTGCAAATTAACAGATAGACCCTGTATTCAATGCCGATTTACACTAGCTAAGAATCTAGTCCAAAACTGTTAACAGCAGAGACAGTCATGATTTTTTCATACATTATTACACTTATGACATTTACAATATACTTTCTAGCATACTATGGAATAATACACCTTGCTTATCAAAATAAAACAGCCATGTACATTTCATGATGTACTATTCTACCTTAAAGAATAGCCAGGGGAGAATCAAATATGTACTGATTCTGTTGGCTGGAAAACACAGTGAATATTTAGGAATACAGGACTTCTCCATGAGTAAGGAGGTCTGGATTGGGCCCAAGTCTTTTGAAAATTAACCCGCACCTGGAAGTCAGCAGTTACAGATCCCCCACAGACATCGATTAACTCTGTCATGTCATAGTAAGCATCAAAGGTCCAAATGCAGCTCTTCAGGTTGAGGTGTTTGTAGAGCTGGATTGTCTTTGGTTCTCTCACGGTGGGATCAAACTGGTATGGACGGTCATATCCAGGACCCAGAATGATGCTGTCATAGGTCACTTCATCCAGGAATCCTGCTTCTGGAATCAGGAAACAAAAGGAGACATATCTCTGTGAATTAAGGAACTCTGTCCTAAGTACTGACATAATATTTTAATTTTCAGCTGTGATACTAGATATACTTTAACATGATGATTTTGATAACTCTGGTCATCTGAAGAAGTGGGCTGTGCCCACGAAAGCTCATGATACCATCTACATGTTTTGTTAGTCTATAAAGTGCTATCAGACGATTTGTTGTTTTTTTCTGTAACAGACTAACTCGGCTATCCCCTGAAGCGCATGATGATTTTCATTACAGTACTGCTTAGAGGCATTTTTCGCTATGTTAAACCAGGGGGGGAGGGAGAGGCTGAGTCCATATAAATAACAAAAGGTAAAAACATAACAGGAATGTTACGAAACATTACAAACCCAGGAAACTCAGGGCTAAGGTTAAACTTATAAAATAACCAAACATGCTAAGGTATGAAAATACACAGAGCATCCAAACATCCTTAACTCTGCTCTATAGTGACACCATGCAATAAACACAATTATGGCATGCACATTAGTGTTTGCAGTCCCTGAGTAGCTTAAATTGATTTTTAAAGACACATTTTGGATTTTTTTCCCCTTGTTTTCATTGGCTCATGGTGTCCTTTCTGCATGGTTTATTTGCTGTTGCTGCTTTCTGTGCCACACTACAGAATGAAGCACAGGGGCTCAGTGGCATAGCGAGGGAGGAGCGGGGGGGCATTGCCCCTAGGCGCCATGCTAGGGGGATGCCAATTTAGTCCTCCTCCGCTCTCCCTGTCATCCCTCAGCTCGCCTGCTCCTCCTCTGCCCGCCGTTGATGGCTGGCACCTTCTCCCCGGCTCTCTGCCCCCAGCCCGACCCTCCTCCATCTCCACCGGCAGGCTAGTGTATGCGGGAGCCTGGCCCTTAACTGGAGGGGGCGAGGAAAGACGTGGTACAAGCTCCCCGCCCTCCTCCCAGTGTCAGGCTCAGCCGTGCGCCAGGTTCAGGGCCCCGGGGGCACAAATTTTGCCTTTGCCCTCAGGTGCATAACATCCTAGCTACAACACTGCAGAGGCTCACTCTGTATCTTGAGAAAGACCTGCCACAGACGATGCATTGGAAAGGTGAAATGACCTGCTCCATTCATTCCTTCCCATATATCTCCCTCAACTAGAAAAATGCTGCAGGAAAACACGGTTTTTAACAGAGAGATTAAAGTCATTAGCTAGGGCCAGTAGTGTGCAAGGCCCTTGACTTAATGAGCCTACATTCTGTCCCTGTTCCTTTTTAATTTACAAAGCAATAGCTTGCTTTAAAGATTACCCGAGATGCCCTGCAGGTCCCTGATGGAGACCAGGTTCGAGCAGACATGCTGGTGTCTGTAGATGGACTCAGATAAAAGGAAATGCAGGTTGTGCAGCGGCATAGTGGAGATGAGAGGCAGCATTCCATCCTGGTGGGGAATTTGCACGGAAATATGGATTCTGGAACAGAATAAATAAGCAGAGCCAGTGGTTTATGCAAAGGGGTGCATATTATGTTAGCTGCGTGCTGTGTGGACTATGGTCTTGTCAACAGCTCATAGTACAAGTTTGGGTGTGTTAGTGCTACATTTATTTAGGGCTGAATTTCTTCGTGTTGTTCAGTGGCATTTAATTCCTTGAAATAATCCCCCTGACTTGCAGTGTTATTAACTCAAGGGCTACGTCTAGACTGGCATGATTTTCTGGAAATGCTTTTATGCATTTTCGGAAGAGAGTGTCTAGATTGGCACAGATGGTTTTCCGCAAAAGCACTTTTTGCAGAAAAGCGTCGGTGGCCAATCTAGACGCGCTTTTGCGCAAAAAAGCCTCGATCGCCATTTTCGCGATCGGGGCTTTTTTGCGCAAAACAAATCTCAGCTGTCTACACTGGCCCTTTTGTGCAAAAATTTTGCGCAAAAGAGACTTTTGCCCGAATGGGAGCAGCATAGTATTTCTGCAAAAAGCACTGATTTCTTACAGTAGGAAGTCAGTGCTTTTGCGGAAATTCAAGCGGCCAATGTAGACAGTTGGCAAGTTTTTCCGGAAAAACGGCTGATTTTCCGGAAAAACTGGCCGGTCTAGACACAGCCAAGGAGTAAGGCATGACTCCAGAGGAAATAACATGAATGCTCCCTCCATCCCTTCACTATTAAGTATTTGAGGAGGAGTGCATGGAGATCCAATTCATGATATACGAAAGAGATCTCATTTCTTACACAGATCCATCTTTTTCTGTTCTTTTGTTGTCTATGTTAAAAAATGAATTAAACTTGCTAAGCCCCTGGAAGAAAAGAATCCAGGCTTGTACCTGTTGGGATGTTCCTTGTGTTTGACATCCAGATACTTCAGTGTGGCAATGAATGATTGAGCCTGGTATCCTCTGGCCGTTCCAGCTACCACAGGAGTATGGCAGATGGCGCTGTCGGTCCCTATGGTAACTATGTTGCTTCTCAGCGGGGTCCCCACATGCCCGGCCTTGTCTACGGCTTTTGCCACACAACGCACATGGAACCGCCGGCTGAAGTAAATGCTGTCCAACACCTGGAAGGAACGAGGGAAGAGGTTTTGCATGTATGTACATGGCATGGTCTTTTACACATAGAGCACTCCACTGGTACTTGAGCCTCAAAAAAAACCCAAACCACACACACCGTACTGTTACGTGCAGTCCACAACCTCTTGTGCTAGTCGTGTACCATGTGGTTGATGCTAGAGGGGTTGATGATCTGGCCCCATTCTCATGACTCACAGCCACAATAAAGTAAGTGTTTGGATATATGAGGTGTTATATTGTTATGTATTATTATAAATTGATTTATATTACTAGGACTATCACTAGGCTAGACTAGAACCCCATTGTTCTAAGTGTTGTACAAACACAAAACAAAGAGGTGGTCCCTGTCCCCTGGGACTTACCACATAATACTAAGTACTGTCAATGTCAGGTTCTAGGGCTCTCAACTGGGCACCCATAAACAGTGGACATTTTCTGACCTTGATCTCTTTCTCCCTCAATTCTCCTTCGGTAAAATGGGGATAACTCAACCTTCCCACTTCACAGCGGCATTGCGAAAATAAATTCATTCATGTTTGTGAAGCATTCTCATGCTGTTGCGAGGAGAACCATAGCCCAAGGAAATTAGTAATGGTCTTGAGAGAAGGGTGTGAATACTATGCAGTAAATAAGGGCTAGGGCTACACATTAAACAACCAGAATAAAACGAAATATTGAACACACTTTCATTCGATGAGCACCATTGGGCCTATGCGCTGTATGAGGCAGAGGTCCTATCGATCAGGGACATAATACATACTCACCAGGAGGCTGAATTAAGGTTTTACTGGAAGGGACCTCGAGAGGTCATCGAGTCCAGTCCCCTGCCCTCATGGCAGGACCAAATACTGTCTAGACCATCCCTGATAGACATTTATCTAACCTGCTCTTAAATATTTCTAGAGATGGAGATTCCACAACCTTCCTGGGCAATTTATTCCAGTGTTTGACCACCCTGACAGTTAGGAACTTTTTCCTAATGTCCAACCTAAACCTCCCTTGCTGCAGTTTAAGCCCATTGCTTCTTGTTCTATCTCCGGAGGCCAAGATGAACAAGTTTTCTCCCTCCTCCTTATGACACCCTTTTTAGGTGACACCCTTATGACACATCTTAACGTGTGTGCGCTGGACTTTGCAATCTTAATGTTCTCTCAATGAAGGTGCGTGTGTATGTGTTTGTGTAAAACAGATGTGCAATACTTAACTTAGTTAATGATACTTCAAGATCTAGAACCTCAAAAAAGCAACCCTCACCATACTGCTATACACAGTCCACACTCTCTTGTGGTACTATACACCGTCACGTACCATGTGGTTGATGCTAGTGAATGGTGTAGTGTCCGTAATCATTTCAAAGGGTGATCTGGCCCCATTCCCATCAGTGGGGGTTGCCACCTCCCAGCTGAACTGTATCGAAGACTGGTTGATCCCGGCCTCATTGCAGCGCTCCTTCATGACTAAGTACTTGGGGAAGTGAGGATCACAAGGTGTTACGCAGATCAGTGGGTAGCCAGGAGAAGGGGACTTCTTTACACCTTCTTTGGTTACTTCCTCCACATGGTCATAGTCTGCCAGAGTGACCACCTGCAGCAATGGAACAAAACCGCTATCACCTGGGAGCAAGGGAAGGCGACATGAAGCAAGGGGCTGGACAGCTTGTTCCCTCAATTTCCAAACCTTGTGACTGGTGCACTGTATTTATTTTGCTTCATAAATCCCACCGAGGTTGCAGAGAAGGAGA